TAGGAACTGGGTATATGTTACAACTTAAAGACAGAACAAATTGTATTAAGGCCAAAGATGAGAGATAATGTATTTGAGAGGAGTAATAATAATTAACCTATACCTCATTCCATTCTACTGACGCTATTTACTTCTGACAATAGATTTATTACCAATCATAAAACAATACATGAAAATAATATATTAATATACATGATATATATGGTAGCCTTTGGGATACTTAACGGTCTTTTTTCTTCGCAGACGCATTATCAATTTTATGTAATCGCCAACATTCACTTTCATCAAATATCCATATTTCGTATCGAGTTTATGGATCTAATTTAACTACATACCATATGTTTTTAGAAATCCACATAATTAACACATTTTGGTAGTACTTTAGTATGTAATCATGTACTTTCTGATGTGTTACACCGCGGAGCATCATAAAGACTATACCTGCCTTAAATCTAAATCATATCAAATTATAGTAGCATAAAGTAAACATTCAGGTTAAATTTTAACACTATACATATACTTTTCAAAAATGTGTCTTTGAGACCCTTAGTGGTGGTGGGGGGTGGGGTGCAAATGCGGTCTTGAACTTTTTTTGAGTATCAGATCGTGGCAGATAAAAAGTAGTAGAAATTGATGCCTATTTTTTTTCAGGAGCAAATTTTTAAGCATTTTATCCGATTTTACGTTCTTTATGGCGGGGAATAACAAAAGTCTTTCTTATATTCTATCTGTTTGTCTGTTATCACATACTTCACGTATTCCACACCTGTAAATAATTAACAAACAGGTAAGAAACTAAACTAGAGATATGCGTTGATGTTCCCTATTATATAAGTTTTAACTTCTAGCAGAACCTTGTATCACCCTTCCACACGTGTTTTACATACCGGTAATTATCTGTAAGTCGTTAGACAGAACTAAATACTTATTAAAACAGGCACCATAAATACTTTTGCGTTTATTATTAATTACTATTTACATTCATCACATTAATTACCCCATTGTCTTACATCTTCACATTCTGATTGATACCAATCTTAATTTTACAAATTTACGTTTCGTGTGATATCCCCTGTGAGAAAGGATATTGTCGTCCACTGTTTTACACGCCATAACATATGCTTCACAGATTCTTTAGATATAATTCCAAAGAACAGTGTCTAGTCCTTCGGGTGATAAACCAGCGGCTGCCAGACAGGCTACGCCCACATTTTGCAAGAGATGGATAGAGAACAAGCTAAAAACAAAATCGATTTTTTGTACAATCAGGGTCAATAATCATGAAAGTTATGGTCTGAAATGCGCAAATATCAAAAGAGACCGAGATCTTTGGGATATAAAGATCTGTTTTAAGTTTCATCAGAATCGGATAAAAATTGTGACCTCTAGAGGGTCCACAACCTTTGTATTGTATACGTTTAAACAATTTGCGTACAAAGAGCGGCCATTTTGTCAGGCAGTTTCATTTCGATTTTCCCGAAATTCAAATTCAACTTTCATTATGGTGGAATGGTGAAATATTTAAACGGAAAATCGAAAAAAAAAAAATTGTGACCTCTAGAGAATCCGCAAGCTAAAAATGCAATTTTTCGAACAATCAGGAGCCATAATCCAGGAAGTTACGTTCGGATATACGCGATTATCAAAAGGAACCAAGATCTTGGTGTGTAATGATGATATATTCACGTTTTTTTTTTTAAATCGGATAAAAATTGTGAGCTCTACGACGGCAAGCTAAAAACGTGATTTTTTGTACATTCAAGGGCCATTATTCAGGAAGTTACGATCCGATACGCGAGAATATCGAAAGGAACCAAGATATTTGGGTTGTACACATGGATTTCAACTCTCATTGAAATCGGATAAAAATTGTAACCTCTAGAGGGTCCACAAGCTTGATATACCAGATGCTATACACTATTTGCTTACGAGGGGCGGCCATTTTGTCCGGCAGTTTTGGCCCGATTTTCACAAAATTCGAATTCAAGAAACATTACGGTGTAACAGTGATATATTCGAACGTTTTTTTTTAAATCAGATAATAATTGTGACCTCTAGAGGAAAAACAAGCTAAAAACATGATTTTTCATACAGTCAGGGGCCATAATTCAGGAAGTAACTATCCGATATGCCCGAAAATCGACAGGAACCAAGATCTTTGGGTTATAAACATGCATTTCAAGTTTCATCAAGATCAGATCAAAATTCTGACCTCTAGAGGGTCCCCAACTTTGATATACCAGATGTTTACACTAATTGTCCGGCAGTTTTGGTCCGATTTTCACGAAATTCGAACTCAACCAAAATTAGGGTGTAACAGTGATATATTTGAACGTTTTTTTAAAATCGGATAATAATTGTGACCTCAAGCTAAAAACGCGATTTTTTGTACAATCAGGGGCCATAATTCAGGAAGTTACTATCCGATATGCGCGAATATCGAAAGGAACCAAGATCTTTGGGGTATAATTTATAAACTTACATTTCAAGATTCATCAAAATCAGAAGAAAATTGTGACCTCTTTAGGGTCCACAGCCTTGATATACGATATTCTTACGCTATTTGAGAACGGCCATTTTGTCTGTCAGTTTTGGGCCGATTTTCACGAAACTCGAACTCAACCATCCTTAGGGTGTAACGGTGATATACAAAAAGGTTTTTTTGAATCGGATAAAAATTATGACCTTTATAGGGTCCACAAGCTAAAAACGCGATATTTCGTACAATCAGGGGCCATAAGTCAGGAAGTTGCGATCCGATATGCGCGAATATCGAAAGGAACCGAGATCTTTGGGTTATAAACTTACATGTTAAGTTTCAACAAAATCGGATAACAATTATGACCTCCATAGGGTCCACAAGCTAAAAACGTGATTTTTTGTACAATCAGGGGCCATAATCCATGAAGTTTCGGTCCGATACATGCCAATATCGAAAGCAACTGAGATCCTTTGGAGATAAACCCATATTTCAAGTTTCGTCAAAATCGGATAAGAATTGTGACCTGTAGAGTGTCCACAAACAATTGTGGACGCCCGGACGGACGGACGCCCGGGACGGACAGGGGCGACGAAAATATACGTCCACATGAAAATGTGGGCGTATAAAAAACTACGTTGGCGCGCAGGTGTAAACAACCCTTGTGTCCGTCTTCATTAGCATTTCATTCATTCCGATGCAGACTTCTGACAACACACAGTGATTGCAACACGTGTTTCATTATACGCGAAGGACAATGAAAAATCCTTAGAGGACGTAGTATTGTCGAACTACCCTCGTTATTGCACTACAAAATGCAGACACAATCTAGACCAAATACTAATATTGCCCCAAATAAAGGCAAATATTCCCGGCAGTGAATCTTGCATGTACTGTACTTTATCCACAAATTTAGCTTCTGCATGCCTCTTGTCGATATATTGGTTTCCGTAATCAAAATGAATAGAAGATCAGCCGTTTGTCTGCTGAAATTGTTGTTTCGATTGTCCGATAAACCCAATGTGTTAAATTAATGTGAGCCTAAATAATGGTGATGACAGCACTCAATGTATAAACATATGTTTTAACGCCACGAAACACGTTTGGTTTGATTACTTGAGTGATCGAAAAACTGACTAAAATAATATGACCACAATAACAGTTTCTGTAAGTTTGAAGCAGCTTGTTTGAGATAAACTATTGAAAACCAGTACGAAATGGTTGGTTGGATTCCTCGTTTGATTAAATTCCTATTAAGGTTGAGAAAGAATATCACAAAAACTGCAGAGGAAAGGAGAAACAACTTTGCACGAGCCACATTTTGAATTATTTTAAATTATTTTAAGTTAGTTTGAATATTTCTATCTCAAAAACAGCGATAACAATGTTTCGACGAAAAGCCATTTATTAACCGAAATTACAATACATTGGGTTGACTAATGGTCGGTCGGATGGGGATAAAACAGTATTATTGGAGGGTTGCCTCTCACTAAAAACTTTGGAAGAAAACAATTTCTTGCTGTCGCTGAGCCTAATTTCCATAGGCAAAGCACTTGACGCTCGAACTGAACATCGTGTTTGCAGATAAGTTGAAACATTACGTTTTGCTAAATCACGCTCGAACTTCTTCGTTCAAAATGGCGTCGTAACAGCGTGCAAACAATCTTAAAAGAACAATTTCGCTTGGCAGGAATTGATAAAAAGATGTTTTACAGTAATGCAATGCAGAAAATGTGGACCCATTAATAGATGACGATTTGACAGGAAACAAAAACAACAGTATAATAATGACGGACATTTTCATTTGACACTATTCTTTTCAGTTTGGTGCCAAATTTTCCTTGTGGATATCAACTCAATTTTTCCGTTCGTGGAAATTAGGCTTTAGTGGATTTTGCCGAATCCGCCCATAAGATTGTGTATTTGACCATCGATCGAGCTCGATTATATTATATACTCAAATAATGTATCCACTTGGGCTAAAATTCGCTTTTGAAAATATGTATTACAAGGAATACTTTTCTGTACCAACTGGACTAAAGAAGACGGAGAATACTTGGCATTAATGATTTCTACTACAATAGTCAATCGATGCACTCGTCAGTAAACCGCGCAAAATATTAAGATAATCTCAAAATACCAATCTATGTGGCCTATTATAGACAAAGAAGAATCAACAAAAGTTCTTCTGGTTTTCATTTTCCTCAATCAGGCACATCAGGAACAACTAAACCAAGTTACACATATAAATCTGAACAGCACAATGAAACCAGGTCGTCTGCAGAATGCAAGGGGTGTACAAAAAATGTTAAGGTATATATATATACCAGTTACAATTATGGCATATCTGAAAAAGGATATGAAAATAGCTGCATCCAATAAGATAATAATGGTAATCCCTTTTGACCAGGTGTACAGAAAATTGTAAACCATAACACAAGCCACAACACAAGTGCTGCAGAGCTGTGGGGGCTAAGACAATAATATATAAGAAATAATATAACACAAAACAAGACGGAGAAAAATTATAAATATCTTTTAATTAAGAATTAGTGATGGTTTCATATACATGTAAAAACAACCATAGAACAGCAGTAGATAAATTAATATCTAAGTAATATATTTTCTTATAATGAGGTTATCTTCATATTATATTATAATGGTTAATATATCACAAACTAGGAAATAAAATTATTAACATTACTAATTATAAGGGGAGGAAAAAGAACCTACAATAACAAACAAAATTGTAAAAACAATATTCCATAAAATAATGTGCTGCAAATATTATGAACATCCAGGAGAAATATGAAAAATAAAGTGTTTTAAGCTATTCTTGATCATATGTCCTATATTTGCAAGTTCCAAAACATACAATAATAGTTACAAATCTTACAAAAAGTACACATCTTCTTGATCATATAATACAGTTTCACCTCCAAATTTTTAAAAATTAGGTTCAGAAGTCTATTCTCTTGCTTTTCCTTCCTAAGCTTGTTTTTTTTACACAAGGGCAATAATTTTGGCTATATTTTGTGGGTTTATCCATACATAAACCAGACTTGTGGTAAAACATCAATTAAATGTTTAATATCTAAGCCAGTACCATGTTCTATTACATATGAAATATTTAAACATTTCCATAATACCTCAAAACGTTTACATTGGATTACTGAGACTTTGAATGTCAGTTTCAAATTTACATCCCCGATAGTTTATAGTGCACATATTAGCCAGTATATGATACCATAACACAAACTAGAACATTTACAGTGACTTTCCTTACCATAAATATTAAAAGATCCTGATTTTAAAATAACTGCTAAATACACAATTAAAAAAGAAAACATATATAATATATCAAAAGTGTATAAAATTACACTTTTTTGTATAAAGATAGGTTGCCAGGCAACGAAACATACGCCAACAGCAGTTAATCACCCAATCAGTCGACAAGGGTTGTCACATATTTGTTCTTTTATAGGTAATGATATCAATTTCTTACAGATCAGGATATAACTTTTGTCGTCAAGAGTGTTCACAAGGTTCAACAAAGTGAAACAAAGGCCATAAATGCAGAAGTTACTGTTATATACAGAAATTGTTGACATTCAATATAATAGGGTTTCTTTGTTTTACTAATCTAAACAATGCATATGAATTTAATACAAATTGGATGATAACTTGTGTCATTAAGAGTATTCATGAGGTTCAACAAAGTGAAACAAGGGCCATAACACTAGAAGTAATCGACGGAAATTAATGAAGTTCACTAGGCTTCTTTGTTTTATTAATCTAAATCTTGTATATATATATATATATATTGCATACAGATCATATGATAACTTTTGTCGATACAGCACTCATAAGGTTCAACAAAGTGAAACAAGGACCATAACGGAAATTGCTGAAATTTAATAGGCTTCTTCGTTTTACTAATTTAAATAATTCATATAAATTTAATATAAATTGGATGATAACTACAAAGTGACATGAACCATATAACTCTAGACGCAATTTATGGAAATTGTTGAAATTACTAATTTTAACAAATTTCAAAAAGATCGGATGGATGGGGGTGGCAATATACGACCACATTTCCATGTGGGTGTATAAAAATGATTGTCAGGAAATTGAAATTTTTTGACTAAAACTTTTATTATAAATTATTGAATAAATATACATGATCATTTGTAACACATGATAACATTTATTTAATTGAGTTTGTTTCATTTAACAAAAATTGATCTCTTAAAGGCTGAAAGGGAACACCAAATCAATGGCATTTTCATTATATGTGAGTGGGTTTTAAAATATTAAACTAAAAAACAATATTCTTTTTATGAAAAACAGGACATATAAATATTGAGCGTGTTCTTGACTGGAAGTTATTATCGATAAAGCTTTGGTTAGTGAGAGGATAAGTAATGCTAATATAATTTCATAAGTTTTAAATATCAAAAGAATGAAACATTAAATTATATACATGTACACATGTTAAGTCAGGATTAGTTGTTATTTCAGGTTGTTAAATACTTATATATCTGTCTATCTATGCCCATATTTATTGTTTACTTAAATAAAACATTTATGAACTTAATCAAAAATAAAACATTTACGAATTTAATCAAAAAATAAAACATTTATGAATTTAATCAAAATTAAAACATTTTATGAATTTAATCAAAATTAAAACATTTATGAATTTAATCAAATGGTCAAATTACCACTTATAGATGATTTTAAGATTCGTATCCTGAAACTACATATAATATTATACCTCGCCAAAATCATATAAAAAAAAAAGGGGCATAAGGATATACATATTTTTTATAAATTTCAAGTACTCAGATCCATAATAGCTGTGACAATGTACAAATATGGATATGATACATGAACATGGTGATGTTTATACAGGATGTTGAATGTATACTGGCTTTGTTTTTCTCCGTCTGCATGGCAACAACCAACAGATTACAGCATTGGCACCAAATAATTCTTTATAAGCTTTAAATGTGTCTCTGACCTTTACACTGTAAATAAAACAGACATTTTGCTTTTAAATATTAAAATTCATAAATTAATAAAATATTATTAAAATATATGCACAATTTTCCGCACAAAATATATTTATTTTACCGTATATTAAGTGTGCATTATATCCCGATTCAAATTTTGGTAGATTTTCGAAATATCTGACACAAGTTGCAAACAAGGTTGCCACGCAAGATACGCCCACATTTTACAAGAGATGGACTGAGAACAAGCTAAAAAAAAAAAAGCGATTTTTCGTACAATCAGGGACCATAGTCCTGGAAGTTATGGTCTGATATGCATGAATATCTACTGGAACCGAGATCGGATCAAAATTGTGATCAAGTTCCTCTACATTTTAAAAATATTTAATATATCATTTTATGATCATAAACATTTACTTGAAGGGAGGCCCCAAAAAGGAAAACACGATAAATTGAAGGATTATGAAGGCATGTCCACTCCTCCTATTACATCTACCTAAACACTGTAAAAAAAACTTGTGAGTGCCTCATTTATTGGACTTGAATGAATAATGTAATAAATATTAAGAAATTTGTGCTCTCAGTCAATGTGATTAAAAACTAAAATATTTTCTAGAAAGTTTAACGTCATGAAATGTTTGAAAAAGATTAAGATGTCTTTCGTTTAGCTACACCGATTAGAAGTATTTAATTTATTGGGTTATCAAAATAAGACTTAAGGCTGTAAATGATAACAATGTGCAGGGGTGGGGGTGCTACACTTGGCAATACATGTACCTCTAATATCCCCCAAATTTTATTGGGGGAAAATCCCAAATCCTAACTAGGCCATTGTAGTTAGTTTTAGAAGATGATTGTATTATTTATAGGAAGTGTGAGAAAGTTTGTAGGTGTTGAAATAGACAATATCAATACCATCATCGCTACAATATTAACAAATGATCCATTTATAACTAGTAACAAACCATATGGTATATAATAACACACTGACATGTTATTTATTCGTTTTTTATTCAAGATATTCTCTAAAACACCCAGCTGGCTCAGCTAATTGGATTTCCAGCCATTTAGGTAAGCTTATATATGATTAAGAAGAATATTAACATCTAAACTCCAATACTTCAGTAAATTGTGTAAATGAATAAGAAACTGCCATACAAGCAATCCTTTAAATCCAAAGAGAGACAACTCTGCCCCCCCCCCCAAAAAAAACCCAACCCAACTTACCTCCCTTCTTCTGGCATGCTCTGCATATTCTGTAGAATAGTTCTATCCTGAAGAAAAAGGCAATCAAGTTAATTCAGAAGATAATTTAGATGTTCTACTGAAGATAACTGTTAAAGATAATATGTCTTGAATTTCAATTGCTGCCTAAATCAGTTCAAGACAGTCCAGCCAGACCCCACTATCACACAACTGAATTACAAGTGCTATTTTTCACATGGAATGTTTTGTAACTTTAGCATGAAAAATATTGATATTCTATGATATAAGAATAGATATTGTGCTATCTGAATCTCCCTAGATATTGTGCTATCTCCCTAGATAAAGTGCTATCCTCATAGATATTGTACACTATATAATACATTGTTCAACTGAACTTACATATATGGATTTATAAATAATATTACTTTAATCCATAGTCGGCTTAACCCTTTCTTTACCAGCATAAATTTCAGTAGCAAGGTACTCTGGGCGGTTAATTTAGTAATATATATCTATAGTAGGCTATTTGGGTTAATAAATTTTTGTTTACTTACAATTAAAACATTTAGATGTTGAGAGAAGAACTGTACCCCCATGACTAAAGCCATATTTAAACCTAATATGGTCAGTAAATACATAAACCATATACTGTGTTTGATGTAAAAAACTTCCTGAAAATAATATACAAATATGAAATGAAAAAAAAAAAAGGGTTTGAGGCCCTACTTTTCTGCACCATCCGGGCTAATGAAGTCAAGTTTTTTTTACGTGCATGCCTGTGTACACAGGAACTTGGATTTTGTCCCATCTGAACAATTAGACACTGTTCTTTGGCAGGCCCTCAAATCCACACTGATCACACTGACCTGGGAAAACAAAGCAGTAAAATCCAGAAGTACATCCTCAGTCAACTTCAGGATTGAACCTTGGACACCTCTGATGCAAGTGACCTAATGTAACACAAAGAAGAAATGCTTGCAAGATTGGTCTTTATCTGTGTTTTTTTTTTTAATCCGGCGCAAAGTTCAAAATGTCAGCTACTATTTCAGTTGTAAGGTTCATCTAAAAGTCCAGAAAGAGAAATTAATAAGCAAGGTACACATATTGTCCTTGTATATTTTTTTGTAAAAATAATAAAAGCTCTTACCCTATCACAAGATACACATCGTGGTAGAATCCAAAAGTGCATCATACAAATAATAAACGACAATAAACCCAACAAAAAGGCATACAGCAGTAACAAAATAAAGGCATAATGGTTTTCCTCTCCAACACAGTTATTTATCCTGAAAAATAGGACCAAAAGATTAAAGATAGGTTGCCAGGCAATGAAACATATGCCCACAGCAGCTCAATTGTCCGTGCAGTCTACTTTTGTCGGTAATAAAAACATTTATAATACACTAAAATCTGATAATAAGAGTAACAACTCATTAAGTAATTATCAGAATTTTTATCAGAATTTGTTTGGCCCATGCTAATGTTTAGTATACACAACATTTAATATCATGGATTTAGCTGTTCAAGTTATCAAAAATCATTGAAAATCAATACACATGTACTTGTTTGTCTCAAGACCTTAAACTCTGTTTAAAGTCAAACAGTTATTAACTTTAGCTTCTAGAGCATCCACAAGATTTTTCAAAGTGATAAGGGTCATAACTCTGGCAGTAATTATCGGATATCATTGAAAATCAATAGGTTCCTTCATCTCATGACCTAAAACACTGTGTATAAATTTAAAGTCGGTCTGATATTAACTTTAGCCCCTAGAGCGTCCACAAGATTGTTCAAAGTGATCAAGGGCCATAACTCTGGCAGTAATTATTGGATATTGTTGAAAATCAATAGGCTTCTTCGTCTCATAATATTAAACACTGTGTATAAATTTAAAGTCAATCAGATATTAACTTTAGCCTCGAGAGCGTCAATTGGATATTAACTTTTGCTTGTGGACACCGGACGGACTGGGGCGACAACAATATACGACCACATTTTAATGTGGGTGTATAAAAACATATTTCTTTGTGATTCTAATTACAAAAGGAAAACATATCTGAAATAGCAGGAAAAGCCTACAATTCTATTTCTCGCTGGTAGTCTGGTAAATTCAATAAATATAGGACATTCAATATAATATAAATAACATGTCCCCTCAGATATGTCAATGAAACAAGGTTCATCTACATGTAGCCAACATCTCTGTGATTCCTTTCCACACTATGGTTATGGTTGATCGGCATGCACATGTACATGTACATATTTATAAATTCAAATGGTTATCATCTTGATCTGCTTTTAATCTTCACAGAATATAGCAAGATCTGGGTCAATATTTTTATAATTTCTAATGAATGTTAAGAATTATTTACCATGGACAGTGATGATCCATTCTGGTAACACATTGTCTACATCTACGACAATGGTGAGCTCGAGGTGGTCGTTTACGATTACACGTTGGACAAAATGTCCACTCCTCTCCTTCTGCAACATCCATTTTAAAAACATGAATGAAAATTTTTTGTTGTTTAAAAACTTCAAATTTTGTTCAGTGACTATTGTTATTGGTAAGTGCACTGATGTACCCAGGGATTTCATTTGATCTCACTAACCAGTCTGGGATTCGATCCCTGTGTTGGCTGAAAAAAATCCCATGGATCTTCTAGCATGGCAATCTGATTAAAACACAGATCCAATTTCGTTTCGTTTTTATAGTTCAAAATTTCGATTTTATTTGTCTTTACTACACTTGGATCTGGAAGCGTTGTTATTTAACTCGTGTTCTCCTTGAAATGAGGGGTCAGCCAATCAAATGGTCTGTCGAATCGAGCGTTTGACCTTTTTTGCGCAGAACTGTGGGTAGACATTAGCGGCAATAGAAATCAAAACAAAGCAAAAGTAGATAAAAAATACATGGCGGTTGCTAATTGGTTCATCGAATGACTGACGTAATTGGGTCAAATGTCGCTTGCTTGGTACCTGACGTCATAGAACGTGAACTCCCACTATAACTTGTTAGATCTACATGTAGTGTAGGCCATCGAAAGTATTAAAAACGAAACGAAATATAGATCTATATTTGAATTAGATTGCTAGCATGGTTTCCCCTTGTCAGTGGTGCAGACTGGATGGGCCTGTCAAGGAACAACATCTAGTCATTCGTATGGGACAAAACACCTAGGTCAAATGTCAGGGCTCTATAAAAGTTGAGTGTGCCTGCGCACACACTTGAATATGTGCCTGCAGGGTCATACTGTAACACAGGGATGTAGCCAGGATTTGGTGAGTAATGTAAAAATATATAAGGCGAGCGGAGCGAGGGCAAAAAAATTTTGGGAGGGGGGCGTGGTCTTTTATGAAAATTAAACCCTTCTTGGTGTATTTTCAGAGCATCTGCTGCCTTTTGTATGTGGTTCAGTGCAAATCAAATTTCCATTTATATATTCAAATGGGTGACCTATTTACGGCAAATAAACAAATATAAAGACCGTAGAATAATTGTAAAATGAATAGACCTAGGCCTACACATCTAAGTATAAATAAACAAAATACCAATACATCTTTCTTTAAACTAATTTGGGATGATAGGGTCTACTACGGCACACAAAAAAGTTTTTTTAAAGCAAATGTGCGCATGTGCGCGGAAATATCGATGCCTGTCAAGTGTACACCCAGATGCAATTTCAGTCTATGCAGGTCATATTTTCAAAGTAATTCAAATACTTAGAATAATTTCCTCACCTGACAAATAAAGTGAAAACTACATGTATAGTAATATTTCAAATATTAGGTTATTGAAATACTTACCAATTATCTGAAGATCATCAATATTTGGTAATTGTCCAGGGTTTAATGTACTTGCTCGGATTAGTGATCCCAGACATAACAAGGCAACTGATAAATAAACTGGAAAAAGAAAAGTTTTAAAGATTAGAGCATTATTTCAATGTAAATATGTCCATGTAAAAATTTGACATATCAAAAAAAAAAAGAAAAAAAAAAAAAAAAAGGAAGGTTAAAATTCATATATTAAAAACTCTTTGTTAAAGATAATTTTTTTCCTGCATTACATTTACAAGACAGTTAGGGATTTTCCCTTTATGTCATTTCAGCAATATTAATAGTGCCGGTATTTATTGAATCAAAAATTATAATACTGTAAGATTAGGCCTACATTACATTTCAAGGTTGCTTGCGTTGTTGGCACATTCTTTGACCAGGATCTGGGTCCCAAATGCTACTAATTTTGTTCTTGAAGGGTGACACTCTTTGAAAAAAGCCCAAATCTCTACCAATTCAAAAATGAGGGCCATGTAACTTAGCATGTTTGTTTCTTGGACAATTGTGCAATGACTGACAGACTTTGGTTCCTGGTCCATCTAGTAGTATTGTACTTGTTTATGTTTGATTTAATGCATACACTGTAACTAGGCATCAGCAAATCAATTATACAAACATTAATACAAATCATAGATTTATACTTACAGTAAATGAAAAAAGGTGACACATGACCATCATTATAAGCTGGTAACAATACAATATAAACGGAAGCCCATGTACCATAAATCCAGTATATATAAACAAACAACAAACACATCATGCCATTCTTATCTTTTATACAGCGTAGACGTCCGAACAGGGGAATTTTTATGTAGGAATAGTTGTCGTTAGGTTTTTGGCGAGATGGTGACGGATGGTTCTGTTGTGGAAATGAAAACATGTTAACCATGTTTTGCATATTGTTAGTTCCATAAAGATCCATGATTGTTGATATTGTATGTATGGAAAGATTAAAGGCAACTGGTACAAAATAAAACAGCTAATTCACATTGTACTATACATACCGGTACATAAACTGACACATCTGAAAAATAATAATAATAATAATATAAGATCAAAGAAACCCAATCACAAATTTGGTTTATGATAGTTTTAAGTAGAATAATATGCTATGTAGAATTTATTATATTCTGAAATTAGGAAAATGCTTTATGTGGGTTATTTAGTACATTTAGTATCATATGCAATGGATGAAGTTAACTGACATAATAATAATAATATTATTTTATATAGTTTTGACTTATTTTAAACTTCTAGATATTTATACTTTGAAACTCTCTAGAAATTTGAACTCTTGCTATTTTCAGTGTTCCCATTAGCAAAAACCATTATCATTATTGGTACATGAACTAAAATTTGTGATTACAAAATACAAGTCAAGTAATAATATTAATATTATTACGAAATAATACAAGTTTGATGGGACTGTAAAAAAAATAGTGATGGCCTCCAATTCCTTCCAGAATTTGTTAATCTTTGAAATTTATTTCTTGAAAAAAAAAAAAAAAAAAATCAATTCTTGAAAACATTTCTTTTGATGATAATAATATAATGAATACCGGTCCGGTAAGATAATATTAATGACTGATCAGTGAATGAGTGATTCAACAGATTGGACATTGGTGGATAGGCCTAATTCAAATCAAATGTCAGCAAAAAGCAATTCTCAGTTTGCTTTGACAGCGACTTTCATGCAACAAAACTTAGAATCCGTTACTTTTTATTTCATCGTGATTAATTAATATTTGTAATATAATCTAAATAACAATTTACCAGTCCAGTTAGATCTATGCCAGTTGATGCTTGTTTCTTTTTTTCTTCAGAAATATTTTTTTATTAGAGTTGTGTGCCCTTTCTTGTGCTGGAAAAGCTATTCATTTAACGTTTCGTATAATGCAAAATAATCTCTTCAGTTTGGATACTATTTACCATATCAAGGTTGAACTGCTATATTTTATTCTGTTGATGTGTTTTTATGTCTGACATCGTTTAGTAGTTTTAGATATGCGAAATTGGTTGTGTATTTGTTCGAAACTTGTACTGTTTGAACTATTGCTGAACTAAAATGGCGTCCAATGCATCTCCTGACGTGGAACTTGGCTTAAATGTATATTTTTTCTGTATTACAGTTTCATTAACATGTTAAATTTTTGTTTCCTTGAAAGAAAAATGTAGTTTTGAAATATCTAAATGACACATCACCAGCCACTTTTCAACTGGCTATCGAAACACTTGGCTTTACTTTACTACCCCTGTGACTGTCTGATTACATACATTTTTATTGTGGACCGTGGAAATGTTTACCTTTTTTGATGTTGAACAGTTTTCGTTATATATTCAACAGTATATAACTTTCAACTTATTATAGGCCTATTGAGCAGTTTGAATGGGATCTACACCATCATGGCTGTCAATATCAAATGACCAAAAACAGAAAACAGATTCTTATCGGGTCTGGCCACTATCCTTTACTGGTGGATCCTATCTCACTAGGGTGACCCGTGCACTCTACAGAAAGTTGGTCTCGACACGGCTAAATGTGCACGCTTCAGTTGCGTGTCTCGAACTGATTTCTGACTACCCCGCACTCTCTTTGAGTCGATAAATAGCCATGGCACGTGCAATTCTCTACAAATATATCAACTATTACAGCCGTAAAAAATCTATTGTTGACGATTTTGAATACTAATAGCAGTAAAATTTAGCTTCTTGGTTATTACAGCAGCTTTAGAAATTACGTTTGTTTTATTTTTTAAATTGCTTTATCATTAACTGCACCGTTAAGAGTGGCATCTTTTGGTTTAGCACAAATAATATCTCTGAATCACTTTCGTTAGCAGGAACATGATACTAGCAGTAGTTTCATTTTACTTTTACAAGTTTCTTAAAACAATTGTTGAGTTGGCTAAAGTGCTTATTTCTAAATTCAATTTCTTGTTCTAGCTTTCTGTTATGTTTCGTAAAAAAGTAGTCTTGATTATCCCGACTTGTCAATCAGACGTAGAATGGTCGATAGACTGGTTAAGTGAGACTAATTTCAAAACAAGGGCACGTAACCTATCTTTACTCAAAAGTGTCTGGATGTTATGGACGAGACTTGGAACCAGTTTTCAGTCTATTATTTATAGATGATTAATGGTCATAGCTTATTAAGTACAACATGATCGTATATTTAGTGACTATAATTGTGTGAAACTGATTTGAGGCTTGGCATATATATATAAATATTGTTGCGTAATTGTCGAGATATTTGGAGATATTTATTTATGATGGGTCACCCTACCTATACACAACTAATATGAAAATAAGGACTCTATCCTCTATCCTATCATTTCTTGTCACATCCGACACAAATTTATGATAATCCAACACTATTCTCATGTAGAATTTAGCGACCCAAAAACACAAACAAGATTTGTTTGAAATGATCCGCCATTATGAAACTCATTCCTGCGCAGACCAGAGGTCATTGGTTCATAGCTGCTCTCAGCCAATATTCCAAATTTAGGAATGGAATTTTACCGTAAACGATAATTCTTGCTGTACTTCAAATAATGGATAAAACTGTCAATATTGATACCACTAAAGTTTATGTATTCAACATACATAAACAACTATTACATAAAATTGATTAATACATAATTGAAGTACAGCAAGAATTTTCGTTCATGATAACTTAACATTCGATTCCTAAATGTTGAATATTGGCTGAGCGAAGACGCCTTTTCCTTTGTCACTGTGCAAAAATGTGTAGCCTAACATTAAGTAAAAGGGGATTATTCTTTCCACCTAATCTGGGTTTGTGAAAACCTTTTCTCTAGAAACAAACATCAAGGCCATGGACAAAAATTTTTTCGAAAAATTCTGTTTTATCATATTTTGCTCAGTGTTTTTTTTTTTTGCGCAGGCTAATTCATGTTTAAACGCTTGCCAAAAATGAAGCCCTGATATGGCATATTGCATTTAGTCCATTCACGATTTTAACCTAACAATAAAGTTCTGCTCCATGAAGACGAGTATACATGTACACTATGCAGTGTGCTATGAGATTGAGATAAATTTTGCCTGGACAGCAATTGAATTTCAACTGTCAAGGGTTAATGTACATGCACACTATAAATATGATAATGTGTACAGACCTCGTTTTTTGTACCATCCTAAGACTAGTCCCTGTTCCTTGCCAGGCCCTCTGTCCTGCAAACCACTGACAAGTGGAAACCATGCTAGCTCTTCCCAGGGAAGTTTCGCGGCCAGTATTGGAATCGAACACTGGACCTCTGGATTAGTTAGCTGGCGCCTTACCCACTAAGCCACCACCATTGCTTGTTATTAGACACCACAAACTAAGTTTCTGTTTAGATTCTTGAAATATATTAATGTCCAGTATAATGTTAGAAAAACATTGGTGGCTAGAATCCATATTCTCTTCAATTCATGTTCTGTAAATTGATGTACAAGTATGCTGTATGTGATGTGTCCTATTTGGTAGTACTGGGTATTATTTTATAGTATACTTACTTTCAAGCATGTAACAAGTTGGGTAGTATTGGGAGCTAACTGGAATGTAGAGACATCAACCTTTCCAATTTTCTGCAAATTAACTGTCCATGATATCGAACCAAATTAACGAAGAGTTTTTGTGAATATAGTTTTTAATATTACCACCATTATATTTATTGTACAAATGTGATTTACTATTTACAGGACAGTGGAAAAAACAAGGACGAACTACAATTTCAAGGTTAGTGGTTTTATCTTCTAATTTACAATAAATTTAGTAAATTAATAATATTTAATATTCTGAAAATAGGCTTATACACAAAACCCACATACTGGTAATTGATGGTTCCTTACATTTGAAATTTGTTATTATCCTACACCTGCAAAGGAGTAAATCTTTGGAAGGAAATCTGAAATATATGAACTCATTAACACATTGTTTCAGAATTATTTTTTTTAAAAAACATATATGTTTTGTTTATAGATTTTCCACTAGAAGATGAAGATGTTGAATTTGAAGTTAAAAACAGTCATATACATAAATTTTCGGATTTCCCCCCTACTGCAGAGTCAGATGAAGACGATAGTACTGATAAATCAGAGGTAGACATAATTACATACCTAACTATTATTTTGATAATGGGCCTAATGTGAAGACTATATTTTGTACATTTAGGAGTTTTATAGCTATTTTGATAACAAGGCCTTTTTGCATGGCCTGAGAGAGAGAGAGATGGGGTATGATGTCCACTTGACACTAACTAGGTCATTTCAGGACTAACATATGGTCCAATTTTATTCCAATAATTCGCTTGCGTGTAGGGGTCTTTTTTAGCTGTGGGAGGAAACCAGTGGACCCAGAAAAAAAACATGAGATTGGACAGGTGACCCTACTCCTTGTCACATACAAGCGATGAATCGAAATCATGCCACTTGACTCAATGACAGATCTTATGATGCAACACATGCATGATAATCATTCGGCCACCCAACCCCTCTGTATCGCCTGTACTGTATATACATGTAGGTGCATTTAATGTTCAATTTAATGACAACTTAATTCAATTTCAAAGTGAGTGACTGTATTCTTGTGAATTATCAGATTAAAGATTTTGACAATTCATTTAATAAAATTGTTTCAGCTTTTGAAGGAGGATAAGAAGACTAGTTCATTTTGGACATTTGAGTATTATCAACAGTATTTTGATGTGGATTCTAAACAAGTATTGCATAGAATTGCTGGATCTATGATACCATTACCTGGTAGAAATTATTTGGTATCACATATTAGACCTAATCCAGATTTATATGGTATGTAGAAACACACACAGTGCATATGTAAATGTATTTGACCATTTCCAGTTCTGTAAATTATTAATATATTTTTAACAGTAAACTATTATCCGTCAAATTTATGATGACTGGTTTATATGATCGCATCGTTTGTCTGCATAACTGAAGTAATCTCTGTGTCTACCAAGGTGCACCAATAACAGCACTCTAACTTAACTATAAATAGACAACTTAGTTATTTATCTAACTAAGAGAATTAGCATGATTTGTAGGCCCCATAACATATCTGATTTATAATCATTGTCTTAATTTAATATGTATACCAATATAAATAAGACCACATTATGGAACATGCATATTTTTACTTTTATTCTTATAGATCATGATTTGTGTGCATATTTTATTTATATATTTTGTACTTCTTTATTATATTTGATGTGGCTTAGGGTATTATTGTAATTTTAAATACTTATTGTGTGCATGTTATTCTTGTTGTTGCAATTTAGATCCGGTTAAATGTCTTTCACTTATGATTCAATATGGTTACTTATGTTATTATTTTCTTGATTATAATCAATAACCACTTAATGTAAGAACTGTTACCACACTGTGTAAAATCCACTAACACTCTCATAGTATCCGACATATGTCCAAATACTGTGGCATGGTAAAGGGCCTCAATATTCCATAATTCATCCCTGGTCATCTATATTTTGTCTTTTCGATAACTTTGAGTGGAATTTTATTACTAATTTTTTGTCTATTTCTTACAGGTCCATTTTGGATATGTATGACATTAGTATTTACGATAGCTATTTCAGGAAATCTGGCTAACTATCTACAATCTGCTTCAACTCAATATGAATGGAAATATGATTTTCACAAAGGTAAAAACTAGGGTAAAAACTGAAACATATACTGTGTAAAATATACATGTGTTGAACCTTCTGTTGATGGCTTAGAATTCAATAAGGATTTTTAATTCTCAGGAAAAATATTAAAATCTAAATGGGGTCCCAACAATATCTTAGGTCATTTTGGGACTAATGCATATCTATTATGTGTGCAATGGGAGGGAGAGAATTTTGTCTAGACTGTGGCATTTTGCCTACTCTTCTACAATTTGCAACTGCTAAGGGGTCATTTATGTGAACTGTGGATTCATATTTCAGGTTTCTTACATAGCATGAAGATGCACAATTTCCGTGTTATCCCTGCAAATAAAATCCATTTCAAATGTTAAAGATGACACTAAGATTGGAACATGTGACATTCTGGTTGTGGCTCTGCTACCTCTATTATAAACTGTTTTATTTCAGTATCATATGCTGCTACAGCTATATTTAGTTATTGGTGGTTAATACCTTTAGCTTTATATGGTTTATTATGGTGGAGAGGAACACAGTCATCTTTACATTATACATTCCTAGAAATAATCTGTGTGTATGGTTATTCTCTAGCCATATATGTTCCAATATCAGTATGTATTTATTTATATATTTGTATAAAAGAAGAAGTCAGACTGTTGCATATTCTTTATATTTTATGTTGTAGTGAAATAGTTAACAAATTGACACTCTGGCTGTGATAAGGGTAACTGTTGCCCACTCTAAACAAGCAAAGCATCAAACATGTAGCCAGGTTTTTCCCAGAGTACGAAGAGTAGCATTTGTTTAATTTAGAAACCAGTGACTGACACTAGTTGCCCTCATGATGTTAATGTTAATTAAAGGTTAAATGAGTTGTAGTTGAGGTTCTACATTATCAAACTCTTTTCTTAAATAATGATAAAATAAAAAGAATCTGCACCATCTAGACTTCTTCTTTAAGATTTTATATTTTAAACTTTACTTCGAACAAACTGTCTCAAATTTGAAAAAAGGGCTTTTACTCAAATTTATGTTTGAGCAATGCAAAGTACACATGTAAATGTGTGAATTTTTGTCGCGTTTTTATCAACTCTTACTCAGAATTGAATATTTGTGTAAATATCAATAATATATATTGGTATTATTGTAGATATTATGGATGATACAAGTCAATTGGTTACAGTGGTTGTTAGTGACAATAGGTGCTGTATTATCAGGCAGTGTATTATTAATCACATTCTGGCCAGTTGTTAAAGAGGATGCTAAACAGGTAAATAGATTGGACTGTATGAATTAAATCTCATCTAACCAATATTGTCATTGTCTGTCACTTTATACAATATTTGAATAATAATGAAGCCGTGTATACATTGGAATGCACGTAAAAGATCACTTGGCAGTTGGAATTCGATATAAGAGTAGGCGATAGTGCCGCTGCCCGGGCAAAATTTCCCTCATAGCACACTGTATGGCATATGCCCGTCTTCATTAGCCCAGTATAGGAGCAGAACAGTAGGACATTAAACCCCATTTCATTTCATTTCATTTTATATCTCTATCTCTGTATGTAAAACGAACTATAAAAAGGAATTAGCCTGCAGATAAAGTTGCGACCAATTAATGCATATATCCTTCATTTTCTTTAAATAGATCTTCGATAGCTATCTGATTCTGAACAAACCCAAAGTTAATATAGACCATAAGTTTAGAAAACTTTCCCTGGTGCAGGCCTCACACCACATGGTTATTATTCTATCCTAAATCTTACTGTGTTAAAGATGCATGTATGTACATGTAAGAGCTAAATCTGCCTATTGCAGGTCTTTATTTTGACTTCAAATATTATGTAAATTATTATTTAAATTTTTATTAATGTGACAAGCCCATAATCAACTCTCTGCGCTACATTTTGTCAATACTTCAAACATTTATAACTTTGCACAGAATAAAGTAATTTGACTGAAATTTTCAATATATTCTTTTTTCATTATCTATTTTGGACTTTTATAGCAATAATGGCCAGCTCTTTATCTAAATCTCATATAATGCATCTTTATCCCTACTGTCACAGATGTCTTGTATAGATTCAAAAACTCTGTAAATTACTGGAATGTGTTGAGGAATGCTGATTCATCTGTTTTGTATATTATCTACCATACATTTTAGATCTCCAGCTTCATTACCTCGAGTATGTGACAAGGAGTAGGCTCGCATGTCCAACCTCGTGAGTTTTCTCCAGGTCGTCCGGTTTCTTCCAACTGCTAAAGACCCTAAACGCAAGTCAATTATTGAAATAAAATTGAACCATATGTTAGTCTCAAAATTCCCTAGTTTGTGTTGAGTGGACATTAAACCCATTTTTCCCTAACTCCCTCATTAGCTTGATTGGTAAAGTAAAGTAGGATGTTAAATCCCATTTCGTTTCTCATATCCATATTGCCTGTCCAACCTCGTGGGTTTTCTCTGGGTACCTCCCACTGCTAAAGACCCCTACGCGCAAGCAAATTATTGAAATAAAATTGAACCATCTGTTAGTCCGGAAATGGCCTAGTTTGTGTTGAGTGGACGTTAAACCTCATTTCTCTCTCCTCTCTTATCCATATTGTTCTTTACTTTTCAGGTTGCTCTAACAGTCATGGCTTTAATATTTATTTTCAATGCAGCTTTAGCAGTTGGCTTTGTGGTAAGACATATTTTGGAATTATGCATAATAAATGTGACCAGATATTGTTGACACTTGCAGATTGCGTTTTTACTGATTTTGATTTTCCAACACATTGCTTTAAAAGATGACTTTGTGTTGCTTTCCTCAATGTCTGAGGGCAAAGACACAACAGGAATGCATAAAAACTGCCATATTTAGTTGCCATGGAATATTGCTATGTTTATACAGTAATTTTAAATTACTGTTATGTGTGTACCATTTTGCATGATATATGGATACCAGTTAAATTATTCAAAATACATGCATAGTTGTGGTTTGATTTTTTTAGCCCTTGTATCTCATTTAACCATAGCTGGTCACATTTTATTAATGGTATACATGTACAAGATAACTGAAAATGAATTTGCCATGTAAACAACTATTTAGTAAATATTGAAATAATATAGGTATAGTGTTGATAAAATATTAGATAATAACGAAAGAGAGGATGAGATTTTTAAATTTATTCTTAGAATTCTTGTGTGTAGTACTTTGGCAAACAACAATGTTTCTGTTTTGTTTGTTTTTTTGAGTCGGGATGGGGGCATATTTCATCTATTATTTGGGCATATGCCCTATTATCATTATTTTATCAGTTATATTGAAACAGCTGTTTTGAAACTCTGGAATTGGTACACACTACCCATTGGTCTCTTTATTTTAAACTAAATAAAGTTTATGTTAATCTTTTATAACTGAACAGTGAAATATTATCAAAAATTTTTTTTTCTTTTCAGTTATATTTTTTCCACGTTCCTAATACATCGGCCAGTTCTACTATTGCCCCAACTACTCCTAATGTTACTTTGCCAGTTTTACAACACCTTCATTCTAGATTAGATGTGCAGGCTAATAATATTGAACAAGATAAATCACCAACTTTAAATCCTGCAAACAGTCAGCCCTCTGCTTTGCGTACAAAAGTTTCAAATCCGACAGATGTCTCAGAGAACAATTTAAAACCAGCGCCAGTTAATTCAAAACAAAGTGTTGATTCGAAAGGAACAAATCCAGCAGCAGTGACTAATGCGATTAAACCTAATGAAAAAAATGAAAAGACTCCTCAACATGGTGATACAATGAAGGGAAATGCTAGAAATGTGGATAATGGAGTTAAAAAGTCTTAAAATATCTACTTTAAAACTAATGTGATTGATCTGTTCAGAATGGATTTTAAACATTTTTATTCTGGCCTGAGTTAAGTATTGGTAAACAATGTAATTAAAATTTCTATTTATTTCATTGCATCTTTATGGTTCTGATTTTTTTCACTTCATAAGATCTAATGTATTCAAAACGTCAGTCATTCAGACGATGGACAGCGACTATGTGAAGAATGTGATAAGGGAGTTTATTCAGTGGGAAATGTCTTGGCACATTGAATAAACTTGTGAGAAGTCAAGTAAATATAAATCGAAATAAAACAAGTTGAAAAACATCTTGTAAAATAAGTAAACCTTATTTTGAGGAGGAATAATAAATCGAGGATAATATCATGAGCTGTTTGGTCAAAAAGGTTTTAGAGGCTTTGAAAAATGATATTTGATAGCAACTGTGGGATAAAAAATTTGGTAATTTTGTGAAGTATTTTCAGTTTACTTTCATATTGATTGTTCTGATATTCGGGGATTTTGCTGATTATCTGTTCATTGTTTAATGTAATTTGAGTATAAAATCTTGGTAGCAATGCATTTAGACTCTAATTGTAATGTACAATGAAAAGATTGTATTATTTGGGTTTGGTATATAATACCATTTGTTTATTTATTAACATGTGTTGATTTCATTGTAATATTGTCATTATTATTACTGTAAAACAAGGAAATGAATGCAACATAAAATGAATTCAAACTGCAGGGGGTTGAAATTAATTTATCTGGCAATATCTTGCTCATTTCTGATTGTAATTGGGGTATGGTGTTACTGTGTCCGATTTCCAAGGTAACTTCTTTATGCTTTACTTTAATACATATAATTGATGATGGGTTAAATTTAACACATTTATTTTTTTCAGTTCTAACATTGATTTCTTGTTTTACAGACCTTGTTACTGCATTCCATTATTACATATGTATATAGTGTATAAATAAAATATTAAAATATTTCTCTTTATAACAGGACATTCCCATACACTGGGTGCTGTTAAATTTGATATTCTTGAAGAAATAATTACATGTAATGCCATTATATTGCATGAGGGGGGTGTAGGGGATGGTAAGCACTGTGGTTGAGTCAACTAGTTTGGTTTCGATTCCCCGGTTGTACGTGACAAGGAGTAGGATCGCCTGTCCAACCTCATGGGTTTTCTCTGGGTCCTCCAGTTTCCTCCCACTGCTAAAGACCCCTATGCTCAAGCAAATTATTCAAATAAAATTGAACCATGTGTTAACCCTGAAATGACCTCGTTTGTGTCGAGTGGAGTTAAACTCATTTCTCTCTCTCTGGCTATATTGCATGGCATAATCCTAGTTGAGAGATTTGTGATTAATACTCCATGATTATGATTATATGTTTACATTTTAGAATTATTTGACTTTCAGGAATTATGTACGTTCAGTCCTCTTATGAGTCTAATACTAAAATTTGGCTTTTAAAATATTTCCACAATGTACGACTTTAGGTAAATTGTGAAAGCTGTGCATTTAGACCTTCGATTTTAGTCACAACATGTTAACTTTTCTTAAATCAATACACCTAACCACTCACTAACCACTCTAGCAGGTCTCTGCGTAGACCTGGGTTTTGACTGAGAAGTTCACCAGGAGCTTCTTTGATTTTCCAAAAAAACATTAAAAAGAAAAATAATCAGAAATAGAGGAAATTTTTTTATTATTTTTCATTTCTGCTAATTATCTGTCCGTATGTTAGGAGAAATAACAACATAGCAAGGAACAAGAGAAAATATTTACTTCTTAAATAAACATATAAATAACAAACTAAGCATTATGTAGACACTAATAATATATGGCAGATTCTAAATGCAGTAATTCTTCTTTTAAATCATTCTCTGTTGGGACCATCCTTCCTGCACCACTGTCAAGGTCAACCACTCCAGAGAATGATGTATATATTGAAGAAAGGAAATTCAGTATTATGTTCAAAAGCAGGACATTTAAAATAAGATGTTCTTCATAGACAAAGTTTTTAAGCAAGCCGAATGGCTTGTTCATATGGGGTGGAAATTTTAGGTTTTATTAGTTACACTGTTAAAAACAACAATAGGGATGAAACCCCAACCTGTAATTTTACGATCATTTGATTACAATAATAATATATATTTGATAAAGCTTATTCTAAACCCAACCGAAAGGTAAAACTTTTCTTCAGCGATGCCTTAAGAAATATTTGTGTAACCCTAAATATTTCATGGGATATTACAGAGTAATTAAATACGTTTCCAGGATGTTACAGTAGCTTTATTATCCGAACCTTCACATATATACCGGATTACTTCACTTCCAACACAACGAAACCTACAGATAAAAAACAAATGACATCAATTTTAGTTGAGTTGAGTTAAGCATGTGTGGTTGCTCCTCTATGGCTCTACTGTTTTTTTATGATATTTTGTGTGTATTATGGATTTTTTAAACTATGATTTTTGGATACAGTGATAGATAAAGGTAATGTGCATCTGTAAAGAAGTTTCTTTTAAAAGAAAAACACATAATTCGGAAGTTATTTGCATCTAAAATTACATATAACTCTTGAAGGATTACTGAGGCATGAAGTTTTATATGTGGGCGAGATCTGTTTTTATTATTAATCTCCTGACTAGTTTAGTGATTAGAATTATGTGTGTGATTATCAACTCAAGAGATAGCTACGAGAACGTAGCTAAAAACGTTGAGATATACTGATGTGTTTGTTTTTAGCTACGATTGGATGCCTTTAGTTGCAAGTGGCAAACTCAATTTCTTTATTAATGCATGTAACATCTTTAAAATAGATAAGTTTATGATATTATGATTAATTAAACTTACAGAGGCCAATGGATTGGCACAACTGTCGCCTAACTCCAAATATTCGCGTTTAAATTAATGAAGCGTTGTTTTTGTCTGACATTTTCACCGCCATCGAAATCCATTCATAGTTACTGTGCTTTCGATTGTCCTTTTGATTGGCTGTTATAAAAGCCTTATATTTAGCCCCGCCTTCATGATGACAGCGTATCGTTTAAAAAGATGGCGGTCTTAGTAACGGCTTAACGCCTCGATTTTAAAAACGACGATTTGTACCCGTTTCAGGTAGGATTATATGCTTAATTGTAGTTGGGTGTTGTAGAAATATTATAAATAACAATAATCAATCGTTGTTTTGATTAAAACTATTGTCAATTGTTTAAAAATGCCGGGTGTGAATCGCTCCCGGAGCTGCAACTTTATAGGTAATGGGCTCATGTCTTATCTCGAAACACGGAGGGTTGAGAGATTACGGTTTGTTATCTACTCAAGAGACAGTTCAGTCAGATACAGCAGAGATCAATTATTGGAGTTAAGAGACCGTAACCCTTTTCAGTCAAGTAAACAGTTTTTAAACTCAATCCCAAAATTAATTGTGAGACACAAACCATTAAGAAGGAAAAGGAAATCAAATGTGATTAATAATAATGACAATTACAGTCAACCTATAAATGTGCAATTATCACAAAGACAGACATTTGATAAAAAAAAGTCATTCCACAGGGATCAAATCAGGATAATTTAATACAAATCTCCACTGTTAACCACGCTGACTCATTAAGTTTTGCTTATTAAATGTCCGTGCAGCAAGAAATAAAACTGTTGAATTATGTGAATATATAACTGATTATGACCTTGACATTTTCATTATTACTGAAACCTGGATAAAATCCACAGATGCGGTTTATCTGAATGAACTTACTCCAGAAAACTATTCCTCTGTCCTTAACCGTGAGAATCGACGAGGCGGCGGAATTGCCATTTTGCACAAGAAGTCCATCGGGGTTAAAGCTGTCAATAGTGTCAACTTCACGAGTTTTGAAGTGCTTCAAGACACGCGTACAATAGGTAGCGACGTGATTCATCTGATCAGTATATACCGGCCTCCCCTATCTACCAAAAACAAGGTAACAACTGACACTTTCCTAACTGAGATCTCGGAATTTCTGCATGACTTGCAGACGTCAAAAGGACGACTGTTGATTGTTGGGGATTTCAACCTCCATTTAAACAAATCCAAGGACTTAAAATCCAACCAATTCTGCGATCTTCTGAATTCATGTAATCTTCAACAACACATTAAGGTACCGACACAACAGAAGTGACATACACTTGATATACTTATCACCAGATTTAATGATGATCTTCTCCGCAGCCATAAAGTCCTTGATCATTCAATCTCCGATCATTATAGTATTTTCGGATCCTTGTCATTGGCAAAGCCCAGGGCTGTTAAAGAAACCATTATTTTCGTAAAACTCAAGACATTGACGTAAATCGATTCAAACAAGACATTCTGTCATTAAATTTACCAACCCAGATTGTAAATTCACATAAAATTCAAACACAAGTATCTCTTTACGATTCTGCCCTGAGCAAACTTTTCAGCGATCACGCGCCTTTAAAATAAAAAAAACTCTAACTATTCGACTAAATAACTGAGATTTTAATTTCAAAACAGGAAAAACGAACTGTTGATGGAGGAAAACCAACTTGGAAATCCACAGGGAGATATATAACCACCAATGGACTGAAACAAATAAACTGATAAAACAAGCTAAAATATCTTATTTTAAAAATAAAATTGAGACGAACAAGGGAAATCCCAAGCAAATCTTTAAAATAATTGACAGTATTTCTAAATCAAAGGAAGAGTGTCCCCTACCCTCAAATGATGACTTTTCATATCCAGCAAAACAATTTTCGTCGTTCTTTTGTGAAAAGGTAACTTATATTAGATTTCATCTTGAGGATTCTGACACAGCAACTCCCCATGACAGTGAATTATACACAGGACCTGTGTTAACTGAGTTTGAGCTAACATCAGAGACTGAAATTTCCAAAATTATTGGAAAATCTGCAAATAAATCCTGTGACCATGACCCACTTCCTACATGGTTATTAAAATCATGCTCATCGTCGATTTCTCCTATTATTACCTCCATTGTCAATAGTTCATTGAAATCTGGAAAGGTGTGTCAATCACGCTGTTTTTAAAAAGAACCTAAAAACAGAATTGTTCCAAAAAGCCTTCACGTAATTATCTCTTTTACTAATTATTTTAATGGTTTATATTTTACCTGTACACTGCTATATATCTGTTTTACCACATAGTTTAATTTTAATTTGTTATGATTTTCTATTATATTTTATCTGGTTTTTTTTTAAATCCTATTATATTGTTTTACCAAATAGTTTAATTTTATTCTTTTATGATTTTATATCTTATTCTTTTACATTGTGTACTCATAATCATATATATTTTTGTACAAGTGCCACATAGAAGCTATACAAGTTCAATAAACTATTGTTATTATTTTATTATCAGTTATATTCTTGTTAAATTGTCGAACAATAAATTCAACAGAGTAAGGAACACACACTATTGCGGATGTATTTAGAATCTCGAACTACTTGGCAATCGGTCACTAGATTTCTCTCAAATAACTTTGATTCTTCATTGGTGTGAATTGTTGTAAAATTATCAATATGAAAGTTATGACTTAACTTACTTATGAGAAAGATATGGCTGAAGTTGGTCTTCAGTCCAGTTATTGTCAATGGATACAATAACGGTTAACCCTGTTAGTTTGGTTATTTCCCAAAGTTTTATCAACCAGGCTATAAAAAAGGCAAGCTATATTAGAATAAAGTTAACAGTTCACATTAAAATTGAATAGATATTTGTCAATATGTGATATTCAAATGACACAGATTTTAGAATCGATGCAGTGTCTACCCACTCGGTACTGTGTCTAGGAGTGCTAGACTGATGTTCCGGCTACTGAGATTCAGGCCATTGCCGTTAAATAGGTGCAGATAATTACTGATGCTAATAGGTACTAACTGGTTAGGATAAAGGAGGCGAGGTACCTATGTTGCCTAAACATTCCAAGAGACAGACGCTTTATAGTTAAAGTATAGTCGAAAGAAGATTTTTGATCTCATAAGAACCTTTGTTGTTATATAAAATGTTAATCCATACAATGATAGAAATACTGTATAGTGAAATGTACTATAACAACTGACCAGAGATAGAATTGTTACCTTTTGGGGTTTGAAGTCTGTGCAGATGGGTTACAATAACCAAATCAGAAGCAACCACTTCGTTTGGTATCCATGTCAACTGAAATATTAAATCTACCTGTCAACTATGGGATGTCAAAGAGAATAATATCTAAGGACGGATCCCATCTACACTCCTGCTGTCAACAACGAAACTGAAATCAAGACGTTATTATCCACTGATAAATAGTGTTATACATCCCTTGTTCGATTTCTGTAAATTATAACCGCTGATGTTCCAGATGTCGATACTGTGTCAACCTGATTTAAAAGGTCGGAGATCTCTCCAACCTACCACAAATTGCTGTTGAAACACAAATAATATGGTTGGTCGAGATATCTCAATGACTGCCCAGCGAAGATAGAACAAAAGAAGTTTCAAGTAAAAACAGAATTAAGACGAATCAAATTCTAAATGGAAGTATAAGCCAATGAATGTGAGCCATTAAATGTTGAATGTTCAAACTAAGTGCTTTCCCCCAAAAAGCTATCTGATAGTTTCAAGAGATCTAACATCAGTCATAAAAATACAGTTAGAGAACTTGAACTGAAACATTGCCATTAACATCGCAAGTGCGGTCTGTAAACAAGAAATAGAGATCCTTTACCGTTTATATCTGCCGGGCAAAACATTTACCGAAATTCGTGAGTTTTAGTAGTTGGCGGTAAATAAATCTGCTACTAGTTTTTATCGCACTGTCACAGGTAACAGTTTTATTAAAGCAGAATTACAATATGGAAAAATAAATAAAATATTAAGAAATGCACTTTACCTGCTTAAAAATTATTTTATTAGTATCCACATCAGAATGAAGGCGATATGTTTGTATTTGACCATCGGGGTCAGTTTTCGAAAGACTTCGCTGGTCTTGTAATGTTAGTGAAGCGTCTACCATTCGCGCACATATTTCAACACCCAAAATCTGAAAGTAATTGAAATTTTTAAACTCAAAAAATGAAATGAGATGGGGTTTAAAGTCTTGCTGTTCTGCTCCGACAGGGAAAAACAGTGTGCTATGAGAGAAATTTTTCCCGGGCAGCGGCACTATGACCTACTCTTATATCGAATTCCAACTGCCAAGGGATCTTTCACGTGCACGTCAATGTGTACTACACTGGGCCTCGGTTTTTGGTCCTATCCGAACGACTAGACAGCTGCTCTTGTCAGGCCCTCCGTCATGCACCACTGACAAGCGAAAACCACGTCGGAATTTCCCGATGAACTTTATCGGCCAATGTGGGGATCGAACACGCGACCTCCAGGCTAGCAAGCCAGCGTCTTACCCACATAGCCATCGTGGCTCCCTTTACACTCAAAGGAATAATGACCCAATGCAAATTATTTTACCACATTGGATTTAGAAAAATTAACTTTAAAACCATTGTTAACCCTAAACCCAACCCTCGGTATGGAATGAGATGAAATGGGGTTTAACGTCATACTGTTCTGTTCCGAATGGGCTAACGAAGACAAGGAATACAGAATGCAGTGTTTCATGGAGGAAATTTTGCCCGGACAGCGACGCTACGGCCTAACCTTATTTCGAATTCAAACTGTCAAGGGTTCTTTTACGAATACGCCAATGTGTACACGGGACCTCGGTTTTTAGTTCTATAATATGTACCTTATATACAGGTCACAATTCTAGGGAAGTTTGTGACAAACACCATCAACAAGACCCTGTCGGCGAGTGCAGCTAAACCAAAAACCCCGACTGCCCCAGTCAGAATCTTCCTTCCTTTCAACGGCAAAGTCTCCTACCAAATCAAACGGCTACTAATGCAACAACCAGAAATAGATGTAACTTTCACAAAAAGCTACAGCACTAAAGATATATTAAGAGCCAATGGTAAACAAAATCCTACACAACCACCACAACCAAAGGGATGTGTTTATCAAATAGTATGCAATTGTGGGATTGCATACATCGGGGAGACAAAGCGACCATTAAATAAAAGGATAGATGACCACAAGTCGAAAGCAGCAACCAACAACTCAGCTGTAGCTGAACATTTGAACTCCAACCCTCGCCACAGAGTCCAATGGTCCAACGTAAAACCACTATGCAAGAATATAAGCAACAAGAGAGCGCGCCGATTACATGAAGCCATTCATATACGACGACACAAACCAACGATGAACAGAGATCAAGGATTGTTCCTTCCCAGGGCGTATGATATTCTTATCACATAATCAAGGCTAAGCATAATTCTACTTTTTTCTTTTTTATCATATTTAATACTTATCAATATTCCAGTAACAACTTTAAGTTTGTAATAACCATCATAATATGCAAAAATGACAACTAATAATTCCCAACTATTTTTGCTTTTCAGGCATTTCTGCTTTTCAGGCCTGCGGTTATTGTAATTTAATGCACTCAATATTTCTAACCCTGCTTTTCTACATCACCATAACATCCAGTGAAGTACCACTCAATATTTTAAATTGTCAGCCTTCAGGGGACTATTGATCATTTGTGCAGTCATTGTTCTAAGGGTTTTTCGTATATCAGTGTAATCACTCGCATCAACATCCACATATCAATTATTTTGGTCATAACACAAATCAAATCTCATCTTCGTGGGATGTTGTCATTATCAAAACCTCATCAAATCGTTGTAAATACTCCACAACAATCTATCCTTTTACCATTTGTATTTATTTCAGTGAAAGGGGTCGTTGATAACATTTCATCAATTTTCATTTTCTTGCAACGTTTGTATTATTAAAACCCACTAATCATTGTGTATACTCCACAACAACTTATCCATTAATCAATTAGTCAATTTTTTAGGTTAATTGGTATTATTACTTATTAGCGTACAATTAAATCAGATTACCATTAGGTACACGTAATTAAGTTACATCCCTGGTTTGTCATCATTAACTTAGCATTGTGGTGTACATGTATATATTGTCCTGTCATATTTTCATTTTTTATCATAGCTTGATAATGACTAGAGAAGCCTAGTCGAAACGTCGCTCAGTAAAAAGCAGTAATTGTATTCCATAGAATTGTGACCTGTATACTCTAGTTCAATTACTAAATGCCATTGAAACAGAATATGTACCTTGCCAGACCCTCTGTCCCACACCAAAATATCCCGATGAACTTTCCCGGCCAATGCAGGGATAGAACACGGGACCCCCGAGTTAGCGAACCAACGTGGCTCCCCAACCCTCATGATAAAAAAAGAGAGAACCCTAACCAAACAAAAATGCTCCCTTGATATATTTCACTGAGAGACGCCCTTATATACATGTAAGCTATATGGCGTTGAGATGCGTATACTAAACTTGAAAAATTCTTATTCTACATGTGGGGGGAGGAGGCGAATGGTTAACGCGTACGCGTTGTATCATAAGGTCTGTCATTGAGGCAACTGGCGTGGTTGCTATTCCCCGGTTGAACGTGACAAGGAGTAGCGTCGCCTGTCCAACCTCGTGGGTTTTCTCCGGGTCCTCTGATTTCCTCCCACTGCTAAACACACCTACGCGCAAGCGAATCATTTAAATAAAATTGAACCGTATGTTAGTCCCTAAATGACCAAGTTTGTCTCGAGTGGACGTTAAACCTCTCTCTGTCTAACCATAAATATTTGCGTTCACCCCTGCCTCTGAAACCATATCAACTTACGATGTTGTACTTCTCACTTAGTAAAAATGCTAAATGCCCGATACCAGAACCCAATATTGTTGCTTTGTCGGGATAAATATTATGATTTTTTGTCAATTCCAAACAATGCTCCGTAACAGCATGCGCAATATTTTCAGGACTTCCAAATTCTATTTGTAAATTTCTGTACAATGATTCCTCGGTATCATAGTTAAAGTGGTAGTTAGCTGAAAGCGTAGGAATAAGCGTAGTATTTTCTCCATATAAAGGAAAGACTGGCTCTGAAAAAATATGTTAAATCTTATCATTTGTTAATTTAAATACCACGTTCTTATGGTTTTGTTTTGCTTTTTGTTTATCAACATTATACAAAGAGCTGGCGTGAATTCAAGTACGTCACCGGACGACTGGACGTTGTATTTCTTTGAGGCAGCAGGTGATGGCTACTAGCCAAAAAAAAGTGTGTGTGAAATAGCTTTATTCAACGCCCGCTTCCACAAAGCGTTACCGCCCAAAAATACTATCCACCTATTTTCATTTGCATTATCAACTGTGTTTAGGTGTGGATGGCTCTTAGAGGCCTTTATTCTAGTTTCAAGCTGAAGTTCCGTGATACGTTTTCAAAGAAATACAACATCCAGTCGTCCGGTGGCGTTGGCGGTGGGCTTTTTGCCTAGTAGCCATCACCTGCTGCCTCAAAGAAATACAACGTCCAGTCGTCCGGTGGCGTTGGCGATGGGCGTCTTGGACTCATGCCTAGTAGCGATCACCTGCTGCTCGGATAAACCTGTGCACTGTATCAACTTCCCGCTATAATCCGGGTTTTGTTGTTTTCTAGACAGTAACAGGGTGAGGGGATACTCGATTGAACGTTCCAGAATTGAATTGTGTCAATCCTAAAAAAATAGTGACAATCGAGTGCAAAGAGGGATTTGGGATGGTAACCGAATAACAAAATATCTCAATGAACCATGGCAGCTGAAACATATTCTACACATACCAACTCCATTGTCGTGACTGACATGACTGGGGCTGGGCTGATTTCCGCGTCACTCGATTGCAATTCTGTCCATTCGGGACGTCCCGGACTGGAAATCGAGCATCCCCGAGTATTTAAGGGTTCGAAACTTTATTAAAACGTCGCGTTTATCAGGTCTTTCAATGAAAAATTGAAGGCAAGAGCTCTAAATCAGCCGCGGAACTCCTATAAGATATTTCTGGTTGGTCGATAATTCCAAACGACGGAATATTTCCAGCGGAAACTATCGGACAAGGTATTTAGTTTTAATGATTCAGAAGAACCTAATATTGCAATACTATTTATATATCCGATATTTTAAAGTCATTATAATGTAAAGATTTTCTATAACTTACTCGTTTCACCCAAATCAAGTTCAAATATATTATTATTAATAACACGTATAGGCAGCTTCATATTATCAGTCTGGTGTAAGTTCCGTAACACACGGAATCCTGAAAACGTTAAAAAGTGTGGCCGGAAAGTGTTTCGGAAAAATCTGCCACCTGCTGCACCAGTCGTGCACCATGATCCACTCTGAAATACATTTTCATGCATAAACAACACAGTCATCCCATTGCTGATAACGGTACTGGATATTTGAAACAAAATGAAAATGAAATGAAAACAAAAGAGATAATTTACTGCTGGATCAAATTCTCAAATAAAACATGCAGTACCAAACAGGTAGCTCATAATAACTTTGCAGTTTGTTCAATAACCATTGTTAAATTTAGAAATCAATCATGAGCCATTGTTTTCATACGTCTAGACTACTACGGTTGACTCAAACTAGTCCATGGAAGAATCTTTAGCGTTTTTACTTGCTGCTCCTATGGAAACCTACATTTTTCCACACTTTAACTGATATCGAGTGGGTTTTTCGGAACTACAAAGTCTTTTTTTGTTTTAACCCCGCCTCTTAGTGGACGTTGAAACCACACCAAGACGAAGATGGCAAATCAGAAACATCTCTTTACCATGCTAATTGTATTGGACTAATGAAGCAAAGCCACATATTATTGTTAAAAGCATATAAACTGACATTTGGTAACTTCAAGTACAAATTACGATATGCTGTTCTTGTATTGTACTTACCAGGACCACACGATGTTTGCCGTCACACAAGGGTGTTGAATAGTCATGATATAGATAGTGTGTTGTAAATCCATTCAATCCATTAAAATGATCTTCATGCCATTCCCCCACGTTACCATAAACATCACAGAAACCGACATCATTAGCAGGATAGAGATTTACAGGGGTAGATGATCCATACTGCATGTTCAGATTAGCTGGTATTGTATCTTGATAAATTATATCACATGATGTACCGTCCGTTACTGGTTTCTGTAAATGAAAATGGGAATTATCCCCCAAATGGAAGCTTCTTTTAAAACGATAATACCTAGTAAGTTTATGGTGTACTTATATATACGCACCTCAGTACCTCGCATCACATGACATTCAGCTTCAGCAGGTAGTCTAAATTCTGGACCTTTCCATGCACAGTATGCCTTAGCTTCATGATATGTTACTTCAACAGGCCAATCCATGGGTAGATCTAATTCATCAAACATAGCACGATACCTAAAGAAATATAAAAACTGTGGCATTTGAATTTAGAAGACTTCCATAACACTGTCATGTGGCAAAGTACTACATTTAGCCCCAAGCTTATGACTAACCCAAACAAATCCCTAAGATTATTTTGTTTCTTAAAATCCACGATCTGTAGCGTGATGACGAAGTTTCGAGACAAAGGGAATGTCTGATATGTTTTTAATCTAAAATCACAAATATCGCCTAGCATTGTTGTGATATGGATAACATGTGCGTTTAGTATATTGAAGCGATTATATTTTTGTCTTGTAAAGCAGCCAATAACTTAAAATCTCAGTTTCGATTTCCAGATAAGCAATATTCAGTACTGAGGAGTTATGGTACATTGAGGTTAGATTTTTGCATTGCGTGTTTACTAAACATGTTTACTAAACTTCTGGTGTCATTTCTTAATGTAATATTTGCCACATTGCCTTTTAAATAATGGGATTTTTTGTTTCAATGCTGCAGTTTATACTTACCTGTAGCTACAGTTTATACTGGTGTCTTCACCTGAAGCCGGTTTACAGTGAGAATAAACAGACAGATTGGCACCACAATTGCTCTTACAACCTAGCAAATAATTTGTCATATACATGCACAATATTCAAATAGACAAAAAAACTAACATATCTCAGATAAAACATCCCATACTGAACAGATCAATATATAACTATGCGTTGGCAACAAGAGGCACGGCAGCTCCCCCCCCCCCCTACACTTACAGAAATAAACCACAGAACTATGACACACATTATACTTAATCGCAATTCCGGAGATCCCCAAAACCGGACCATACAGAACATCAGCTAATATAGTCCTGCCTCGATATCGATCAATGCAGTTTAACTCGTAAAATGGCAGCCATACCTTCTGAACAGACCCAAAAAGGTGGATGTTTAGCCTTTTTAAATTCCCTCCACTGCCACCCATCTTCTGTCCACAAGTCACGTTTGTTATAACCACCACTTTTTACAAACTCTAGGAACTGTCCATTGGTGATTGGATATTTACTCGATTCAAAGGCGGGTACACTGAAAAATGGTTATTCAGTATACAACTATATTTCATTGCAACAAAAGCACGGAGAGATTAAATTTCTACGGATTGCTTTTTAATCTAAATTAACGACAACTCACCTGCATTTAAAAAATCCATATTCATTATCCCAACCGTACGAAGGGAAGTCTTCCGGTTTACCAAGCGTCACATCCATGTCTGCCATATTTACCATAGGATTATCATTTAAACTTTGATCTTTAACAACAAAAAATTTAATCAAATAAAGCAAAACCACCCTTATACTTTCACCCGAACGTTAAACTAGCTTTGGTAATTGTGTGCAAGCCCGTGGGCGTGTCCAAGAATTTGAGCTGCGGGGGGTCCAAATGGAGAAAACGTCAAGTTTAGCATTAGGTCGGGGGCGGGGGAAACTACCCGCGAATTGGATGAAATCCAAAGCTTTGAGACAATATTTCTGCTCATTTAGGTGCAAAAATGTATAGAATTGCAGTGGAGTGCCCCAAAACGGCGCCAATATTTCCCACATTAGTTTTTCGAGATGAATGTATGAGAAAAAAAAATTGCTCTGCGCCAGCAGGGGGTAGTTTTTACCCATTTAAACCCCCACCCACTGGGCACGCGCCTGAAGAAGAGGTAGTCAGTCAGGTCATTGGACTCTCGACTATAATGTCCCGGGTTACAGCACTCAGTGTGAGCCGACAAGAACCTTCGGAATTGTTCAATCCCGGGTTGGCACCTGTAGGGCTGACAAGCAAAACCTTCCCAGTCGTTACGATAGGACCAAATACCAAGGTCCACTCGTGTATACATTCGCGTGACGTAAAATAACCCTGGGCAGATGGAAATCAAAGATGGGCAAAAGTCTATTTCCTAGCATGGCACACGCAAATAAAAACTGCCATATGTTATCCTTAAAATGACTGAAGTAGTATGTTCACTATACGTTAAACCCCACTCTATTCTAGTGTTAATTTCGCATAAGTTATTTTGTAAAATAAAGTTCAAAATCCGATATAATTATTCACAAACAATAAAAATCTAGTATTTATATAATATATACTAGCCAGTTTTTAAAGGTCCGTAAATCCATCCACTGGGTTTCGTTACCACATCAACAGGCAATTGACGAATCAGAACCGACGAAGTCTCCATATGAAGACGATCATGTTCAAAACCCATAAGCATAGCCCACTGAAGAAAAGGCAAAAACAACAGTTGAATATCTCGGACAATTTATGAGCGATTATCTACACATATCGAGTGAATTTAAGGGCGCCCCTGAAATTAAAGCAAGGAACCATAAAATCTGATGAATAACAATGTATTACTCGTGGTACAATATTGTACAATATAAAATGTTTTACCATGTAACCTAACACTGGATGCATATAAGTAAAATTCCAGTAAATATCTTCATCTTAGATAGAGGAATGGTATCTACTAGTATAACAAAGCACTCTATAACTTTATCAAATTAAACGGTCATTTAGGTGATTAGAACTGTATGACCTCAGCTGTTTTTGATAATATATGATATTGACTTTTCAACTCTGTATAAACTTCTGTTAAGGCATGGACTGGCTATGATCTAATTAAACATGTAATTAATGCCATATGTCATTTACAAACTGCATATGATCTGTGCACACGCTCCGCTTTACTTCAAAGGAATACGCGCTGGTCAGTAAGCATGCCATGACGAGATAAAAGAGACAATTACATGTATGACCATGAGCTTATCTATTGTCTGACGGTATATAATCAGGAGTTTGCTGACAGTTAGGCAGACCACTACAGACGACTAAAGACGACTGGAGACGAGGAGAGACGCACAGACTGGCGTATGGACTCATACAGAGGGGCAGAATGGTGGATTTAATATAGTTATATGTTTCCTGTTGTTGTCTAGTTCCCGATGTAGTCATGTTGTATGTATGTAACTGTAGCTGTTTTTATATACCTGATGTAAATAAACCATATATTTACGAAACTGATCTCTGTTATCAGTAAGATAGTGTTACACTAGTGGGCTGGTTTTATAAATGAATCCCTTCCAGGCAAAGCTCTTCTAGCCCGCTAACTTTATTTTCAATACAGGCATATAGTAAAGTATACCAATAGTTTTATAGTATTACAGTTGTCTTCATTAGCTCATCTGTCAGGACAAAATTCTCCTCCCCAGCATTGAAATAATGTCAGAAGTATTTTTTGGAAGGGATGTTAAAGTTAATTCATTTCTTTTCTTTCAAAAATGAATCACGTACTCAATCACCAGTGGAAACAATAATGGCCATTGCTTGCGATTTGTTAGCAGTGTACTAAAGTGCAACTGATGGCATTATGGATTTATATATCACAACCTACGGACTGTCCATTGTAATTGGTAATTGTAACTGTCCATAGTAATTGGTAAATGTAGTGGAGTATCTTGTCACTTACCCATGGAGTGTCCATAGAGAATAGTAATTCGTAATTCTAATGGAGTATCTTGTTACTTACCCAGGGACTGTCCATAGTCTGGTCACTTACCCATGAACTGTCCATAGTAAATGGTAAATGGTAATTCTAATGGAGTATCTTGTTACTTACCAAGGGACTGTCCATGGTAATGGTAAAATAGTAATTCTAATAGAGTATCTTGTTACTTACCCAGGGACTGTCCATAATGGGTAAATAGTAATTCTAATAGAGTATCTTGTTACTTACCCAGGGACTGTCCATAGTAATTGGCAATTGTAATGGAGTATCTTGTATGATTTTCTTTATAATATTACGAACTTGTTGACGATATTCTACAACAGTGTGGATGGACGGCCATATATAACTTCCCCCCCATACGATAATTTTCCTGAAATTCAGCAAATTAAGTGGTGATTCACATTTAGCGCATATTTTTATCTTTTTTAGTTGCAATATTGAATCCCAAAATGTACTAGAATAATAACCACCATACCTCTCGCACGACACCCGTCATTACTGATTTTCATTGCATTTACATATTTCATGGCATTTACATAATTCATGGCATTTACATATTTCATGTTATTTACATTATTCATGGCACTTATATGTTTCAAGGTATTTACATAATTCATGACACTTATATATTTCATGGTATTTACAAAACCTAAATACTTACAGTATCATCCCAAGACATCTCATCTACTCCTGTCTCAAACATTGTCTCAAACTCTATATTAACCCTCTCCTTAAATAAATAACACAACGTCATTTGTAATTACAGTTTTTGGTGGTGGTGGTGGCTGTGTGTGCGGGGGTGGGGAAGGGTTCTGCGGCGCAATAGAAACACTCATAATTAAACAGGTATAATATTAAAATAAAACAATTCCTTTCCTTCAAAATCAAAAGATCCAAATCCGATATTGAAAATCAACCAATTTATATGTTAATCTGTTGTATATCCAAACTATATGTAGACAAGAAACAAGGATAATAGAAATCAAAGATATTATTTCATACCAATTTCTATGTCAATCATTAGTACACAGACAAGCAACAGGAATAATAGAAATTGATATGGGCAGGGGGTGATATAGACCTAGCCTGTTCCCCAAACCTTTTCTCACTGAATAAAATATAGTTTTAATAAAAATTGATATATTAATGAGAACTTCATATTATTTCATACTAATTTCTATTTCAAGCAGTTGTACCTTTAGAAGTCCAGCTAACATCAGTTTATTAACATAGACAACGGCTGTATGAGCAAAATAGAAAACAAGAGGCAGCCGAAGTCGATCTGGACACAGATAGAAGACATTGTCACCTGAAAGAGTAGTAATTTGATGAATAAAACATTGAACAGCAATTGTTATGATTCGTTCAAACAATGAAACTAACATTTACATTAAAATGAATGTTTTACGACCTTTTACATAATTAATGAATGCGAAGATATCCTTTATAGAATTAGTATTTGTTCAACAGCGTGACTGCGGCCTTTTATGCTGGCAACGATAAATAAGTTTCGCCTCATTTCATACTAAATCGCATAGATAGTTACCATTCAACGATGTAAACAGCGTCTCATAAAGATCATACGTATTCTCAAAATAATCCAATATATCTCTGAAATTAGAACAAAATAATAATAATAATAAAAAAAATCTAACGAAACTAAATGTTTTAATGAATACATATATAAACAGCTCTCTATCGAAAATTTAAATCATTTGTCACCGCAAATGGCAAGTAGTAGCGTTAATTATTATTGATTTCTGAAATAATAAACTTTGTCTATCTTGTACACACGGCAATCCTAACCGGGCAGTCAAGCAAATCCAGGTTTTAAAAGTACCCTATTTCTTACGTTAATCTGCATGGTATCCGATTTGGCACTTTGACTGTCCACATTCTAGAGAGTCAATGAAAAAGGCATTCACGACAGTTATCGAGGATGGATGGACTGCACTAGTGTCTGTGGATGTAACTATTTTTCTTTCCCAATATTTAACATTAAAGAATAAATTTTATGTAGCTTGTGTAATTGATTTAAACTGGTCCACAATCATAGTTCGAATAGTAGACAATACCGGGTTCAAAACATAATTCGAATAATAGATGAATATCATTCGTAATCCTTACGCGTGAGGCGTCATATTAGGCAATATTTTAGTTGTTCAATATGAATATAAAGGCACAGATTGGATCGGTTTTAAAATTGTCTACGCAGCCTTAGAAACCTCAAATCCCATGCAATCACTCGCCGTATTGTCCGTAAATGGAATTCCCTCCCAAAAACTCAAAGGCGGGGCCAATAGTCTTGAAACGATAGTCCAAACTTTCTCTTTATATTGCTGTCCCCTATCCCAATATTTTTGGAGAGAAATATGCCTTTGGCCGTTATAAAATAGGTTTGGCATGAGAGACTTTAACTGAAAGGAAAATGAATCAGCTCCCTACGCAAGGAAGCCGAACAGGGTGCCATGTCAAACCGGAAGCTCTTTAATATGCCGACAACAAATTGATTTTCGTTCGCATCGATACTTTAGATTTTCACCCAAATCAAAGATTTTAACAGAAATCCGGATTGATGCATGCAATACTTTGAACATCACTCACAGGCCAGTTCAGGTGGTACATATCAGTGTAAATGAAATGGGGTTTAAAGTCCTACTGTTTTGCTCCGAACTGGGCTAATGAAGACGGGCATACGCCATACAGTGTGCTATGGGGGAAATTTTGCCCGGACAGCGGCAAGACGGCCTACTCTTATATCGATATCAGTGTAAAAGAGTTCACCACACTACTACGTAAAATATGGTTCA